ACGTCGGTGCGTACTACCTTGCGTTACGTGGGGACGTAGACGCACTTGTGTTTGCGGGTGGTGTCGGAGAGAAGAGTGAGCAGCTGAGGTCAGCGATTGGGGAGGCTGTAGGGTGCTTGGGGTTCGCTGCGGTGGACGAAGGAAGGAATAGAAAAGTGAGTACGGGGGACGAAGTTGTGGCTGATGTTGGAAGAGAAGGAGGAGGGAAGCGACTACTGGTCTGTAAAACGGACGAGCAATTTGAGATGACGAGGGAGTGCGTGTCGTTGGCGCATCGGGGCTCCTGGGAGTGAAGCGGTGAAGGTTGAAGGTAAAAATATTATTATATGTACATTGTATGACAGCCATAATCGAACACGAAACACGAGTATGCGGTACATAGAATTCATGGGACTCAAATTTGAACCATTACTGAGATCTCCTGAGCCAGCTGACGATACTCGAGACCAGCACGAAAGGGAGACTTTCGTGGCGCAACGCATCGTCTCTCGCCCGTTTCTGCTCTTCCAGTCGTCTGTCCGTCATCTGCTCGTACTCTTTCCTAGCCTGGGCAGCTTTCGCCAGCTCTGCCTCGCGTCTCGCCTTGGCCAGTGCGTCTTGCAATTCGCGCTGCTTCTGGTTTTCGGCTTCCTTGCGGGCCTTCTCCTCCTCGACAAGCTGCGCCCGACGAGCTTCTTCTTCTTCCACCTGCTTGCGTAGCCTGGAAACTTCGTCTTGTAGTCGTTTTTTGAACTCCTGGTCTTCCTTATCTCTGGCTTCTTTCTGCTCCTCGAGGAGTCGCACCCGGGCCTCTTCCTCTGCTCGTTTCAACGCGGCCACTTCCTGATCCTTTCTTACTTGCTCCAGCTTCGCCTGCTTTACCTCCCTTTGCATCCGGGCGATCTCGTCCCGGAGTTGTTGTCTGTGCTCTTCTTCCTCTTTGGCTTTCGCCGCCCTCTGCTCTTCGGCATGTTGCATCTGGCGCTCCTTCTCCGCCGCTTCCTCCTCAGCCCTTTCCCTCTCTCTTCTCGCTTCTTCCGCCCTGGCTTCCTCTGCTTGCTGCATCTCGTTTCGTGCTCTGATCACTTCCTCTTGGAGCACCTGAAGACGTCTCCGGTTTTCTTCCTCTTCGCGCTCCTTCGCCCGTTTCTCCTCTTCGAGAACCCGCGCTCGCTTCTCATCCTCGATCTGCTTCGCGGCCAGCAGTTCGCGCTCTTTCCTGGCGTGCTCTGCCTGCTTCTCCTCCATCTGTTGTCGTACGGTGGAGACTTCATCGTGCAGGGCCTCGAGAGCTTCCACTTGTCTTCTATGCGTATCCTCCATCTCGAATATCTTCGCATCCAGCTTGGCCTTCTCCGCAGCGTACTCGGCAGCTAATTGCTGAGCATCTCGTTGGATCCTCATGATTTCTTGATGCTTCTTCTCGACCTCCTCGCGTAGCTCCTCTCTCGTTTCTTCGTCTTTGGCCTTCAAAGCCTTCTCCATCTCTGCCTTAAGGGTCTTCAACTCCTCGCTGTGCTGATCAGCCTGGTACTGAAGCGCGCGGGTGAGCTCCGCGCCAGCAGCTGTGTGCGCGATGTCTTTGTGTTCGTTAACGAGCTCGTCCTGAATGCGGAGAGTCGCGGGCTGCAGGTTGATCAAGTGACGGAGGATGGTGTGTGCGGACGCCTGCGTTCCGTCGTGTCGGAGCATCCTCGCACCCTTTTCGAGAACGGGTTTGAAGAACTTGTCTTTCCCCGCAAGCTCGGCTTCCCTGGCCTCCCCAAGCTCGCGCTTTACTTCGCTCCACATATTGCTGACGAGCAGCACCGACTTCAGACTGCTCTCTCCGCAGAGCTCGCGGAACATCGCGAAGTTTCGCTTCGACGTGCCGCCCATCCTGAAGTCAGAGATACGGTGCATATAGATGACGCCGGCGAGCTTTGTACCCTGCTCGTACCTGAAAACGATATTGGTCAGGCAAGCGAACGTATTCTCCGTCATTCAAGATTGCTCACGTATTCTGAAGATAGGCAGCAATTAATTTCAGTATATCGGTGTCCTTCCGGCTCGTGTCGTCGAAGCCGGGCGTGTCGATCAAGCTGACGATCCGGCCATTTAATCTGAACGGCTTCGAGGTCTGGATCTCGCTAGTACAGCTCTCTAAGCCCTTCCCAACGGTAAAGTCGGATCCGCTGGCGCAGTTGATGAACTGAATGCTTCCTGGTCAGCTGACATATTCGAATTGTTCACGTATGATTGTGCTCACAGTTGTTTTTCCACTCCCGGTGGCCCCCATTATCCTGTTGGTGCTAGTTAGGCTGAGTAGTCTCGGACGTAAAACGTACGCACGCTATCCTAATCTCTTTGCCGTACGCCATCTGGTGGGCGAAGGTTAGAGGGGCATCTCGTTCCTCAACTAGTGAGCCCTGCTTACATTTTGTATCCGGTGTTGTTGCAGGAGGTCGAATGCGACGAAGTAGTCGACGGTAACCCGAGTTGTTTGGCTATTCTGAAGGTCAGGTTCTGCGCCATCGTAGCCTGGCTTTATACAAGAAGGCGAGGTTCCAAGATGCCGACCATGCTTGTTACACGACTTGGTCAGTGCTCAGGGGTAAGGTGGTCCAGTGGGGCTTTCCCGATCCGCTTTTGCAGATATCGTCCGAATGTTCTACGAATGTTCGAAAAGCAGGCTGGTGGTGATACAAATCCAACACGAGGCCGCCTTATGGAGTACCTTGAACCCTACTCACCCACGAAGTCCCATAGCAACATTGCCACCCCTCGAATCATGGGCCTGCCATGTTGAGTTACTCTGGCCTCCTGCCATTCACACTTCTGCATCACGCAGTCGCCGTGCTGTAGCAGCCAAATTTTCATCTACGCCGGCCATCGCTTTGCACCAACGAGGCGCCGATTCTACAGTCGCCGTCTAGCAGATGTACCTCCCGACTGTAACCCTTTGGCTTGCAAGCTCGCCTGCATTGAATCAAAGCGTGCGGTGACACAAGGTTACCGTGGACATCATGCGCGCGTGTGATTCGCAGGGAAAGCAACGACGTCAAGCCTACAATCGCAAGTATCGCATAAAACGGGTTTTATCATATAGATGTCCAGTCAAGCGGGCTCCTGCCAAAGTTCCGAAAACCTCACCGCCTCTCCCTCTCCCGCACTTCGTACTCGATCCTCTTCAGTTCCGCCTCATACTCTGAAGCCAGCCTCTGAGCCTCGGTCTGAACTCTCAGCAACTCGGCCTCCATCTGCTCGGCCTCCTCCTGTAGCTCTATCCGCGTCTCCTCGTCCTGAGCCTGGGCAGCGGCTTCCATCTCGGTCCGGAGAGTTTCGAGTTCTTGGCGGTGCCTCTCTGCTTGGTCCATCAGCTCCCTATTCAACTCTGCGAACGCGGCTGACTGCGTTATGTCCTTCTTTTCGTCGACGAGCTCGCGCTGTATGCGTAACACGGTAAGCGATTTGGCAACGAGGCTGCGAAGGATGGTTTGTGCGGATTCGAGGGAGTTGTCATGCCGGCACAGCTGAGCGCCTTTGTCGAGAATAGGCTTGAAGAAGATGTCTTTGGATCGCAACTCCTGTTCTCGTGCCTCGGCGTCGTCTTTGTTGACAGAGTTCCACATGTTGGTGCAGATGACGACGTTCTGGTACGACTCTTCGCCGCAGAGTTCCTGGAACATCTGAAAGTCACGTCTGGATGCGCCTCCCATCTTGAGGTCGGAAATACGCTGCATGTAGATCACGCCCGAAAGCTTGACGCCTTGGCTGTATCTGTCGCAATTGTCAGCCCATGGTATAGTTCCGATTCGCGGAGAACATGCCTATTGACCAGGTGTGCCGCAATCATCTTCAGAACGTCGGTGTCGCTTTTGGTGGTGTCGTCGAAACCAGGCGTATCGATCAGAACGACTGAACGACCGCCCAGTTCGAAGGGTTGGGCAACTTGCACCTCGTTGGTACAACTCTCCAACCCCATCCCAACTCTCAAATCCGACCCAGATGCAAGGTTGATGAACTGCTCTCTGTGCGGTTGGCCCACGAAAACATAGCGAAAGGTTAGCGACTCACTGTTGTTTTTCCGCTCCCGGTGGCACCCATGACTCTGAAGGGAACAGTGTTACAAACACAGACGGAGGTATACCGGGGGTGACATACACGATGTAAACGCTCTCCGGGATGCTGGTACTTGGTGCTGCTTCTTCGTCTGGAATCTTGGAGCGCTTGTTACGCGAACTACAGAAGCCTCGCAGAATTTGACCCATCGTCTAGTGTAAGTATCTAGGATTGCTTGGGATAGATAATGCGATGAAAAAGGGCTGCACGATGCGACAAACGGTACGGTACGGGCTCTTCGCTGTGTTACTTGAAGACTTTCAAGCTCCTCGAGTACCGCCATTTCATTCTGACACGTGTTGTAGGCGCCCCCATTATCGGTATCGCCTTGTGTGTACCACAAGCTGTTCAAGAAACGTGGTCACCTCACGCAAGGTAGGTGCGTGGAGACGCTAATCACCAATGTATGATGCTGCAGCCATGCAGGTCTCTGCTGGATGCTGATATGAGGCTTGTGTGAACGCTTCCACAAGGCAATCACGCACCACAAAAAGGCCTACCCTCTCCGAGCGGACTGGCCCAGTGGGCGAGGCCCCATGAACCCGGAGAGGAAACGCGACCCGAACGTGGTTGGCCAACAGGGGTAAAAACCCGACTTGAGTGAAGTCGAGTCCCTCGCCCAGCTGTGTCTCATATAATTGATTTACACATACATGTGTCGCGCTTCCTATCGCACGAGTTCATCTAAGCGGAAATAACGAAGCACGACATGAAGCTGAGCAGTTCGTAGTAAGGAACACACGTTACACCAGATAACAGAGTTGCGGTCTCAGATATTGAAAACTTCGACCTGCCATCGCTTTCACCAGGGCATGTCTCGAGCAACGAATGCTCATGATGCAGCTGAGAACTGAAAGCACGGGTGACTCATTGTCTATCAAACAAATGGTGGGATAAACATGCAAAGCGCACGCAAAAAATGGACATTCGGGGGATTGAACCCCGGGCCTTATACAAGAGTGCTTCAGAATTTGATGCAAAGCATACGCGCTACCACTGCGCTAAATGCCCATGTCTGTTTTACGCCAAATAGGACATAATCACCTGGTATCAGAGATTGAGGTAATTCGCGGGGATTGAGTCTAAATTTGGGTTCATTTGTCATTATACATCCGGTGGATGCCCGAAAAAAAAAGTGGCCTGATACCTACCCGACTGTATAAAAGCTGTCATAACAATTGTCCAGTCGGGTCCGTTACCACACTTGTCGTCTGCTCAGCCTCTGGACATTGCTGAAGGCTCTGTGCCTGAGTTCTTTCACGATGGACCTTGTTCTTAGCATCGCAGACGACTACCTCCTGGACAAAGTTTGGGCTCGGCTTGTTCCTCACACTAACCCCCTGTTCGAGTCGTCATTCTCACTATCCACCTCTGCTAACCTCTCATCAATATCTCTGCCTTCAGAATCCGCGTGGCCTCGCGATTATGTCCCTCGCCAAATTTTGTCGCTCAGCGTAATAACCCTGATCGGCATCCACTTGCTTTATTTCATATTTGCTGGCCTCTCCTACCAATTTATATTCAACCACGACATGATGCGTCACCCGAGATTTCTGAAAAACCAGGTTAAACAGGAGATTCAGTCCAGCTTGCGGGCCTTCCCTGCGATCACCCTCATGACCCTGCCATGGTTCCAAGCAGAGGTGATGGGTTATTCCAGACTGTATGACAATGTGGGGGATTATGGTTGGGCATACCTTTTCTTGTCAATACCGTTGTAAGTTCCTACGTTTTAGGAAGAATGCCGATGTTGACCGTTGGGCAGTTTCTTGGTATTCACAGACTACGGTATTTACTGGGTCCACCGCCTCTTGCACCACCCTATCATATATAAAACATTCCACAAGCCTCATCACAAGTGGATCAGTAAGTCGCCTTCTTCACCCGTATAATGTCATTTTAACGCGTAATCTAGTCCCCACGCCATTTGCATCCCATGCTTTCCATCCTGTTGATGGCTATCTCCAATCTGTGCCGTACCATCTCTTCATATTTTTATTCCCTCTCCACCGATGGCTATACCTTGGCCTCTTTGTCTTTGTCAACTTCTGGAGCATATTTGTAGGTTCCCATGCTTTATTCATTTCATATTACCCGTTGATCCTATACTTTAGATCCATGATTCGGACATGATAACGGGGCATGCGCTAGAAAAAGTCATCAATGGTCCTGCACACCATACGCTGCACCACCTATACTTCACGGTGAACTATGGCCAGGTACGTTTGCTCCTTGAGGGTCTACACTGTATCTGATGTGAATATTAGTACTTTACCTGGGCTGACCGGATGGGCGGTTCATATCGACAGCCCGAGTCACATCTCGATCCGCTATTAGAAGTGAAGAAGCACCAATGAAAATAGCCTGAGCAAACACTAGACTAGCTGCGCCATCCCGTGTCCTATACTATCAGGCCACATTTACATTGGCTGGTGGCTGTTAATTTGTCACACTTATATCCATTGCATACAGACATAACTACTTTTTTGAGTTACACAAGGAGAATATTGAACACAGCGCTGGTGCTACCGTGGTAACGTGATAGTAACATGTTTTCGGCACCGGCGGTGGTATGGGCCAAGCGGTTAGGGCGTGTGCACCACACATGGCGGCGAAGTCTGGGAAGTACGGACCATCTTCACGTCTTACGCTCGTCTCACGATAGTGGTTTCAATTTACAGGCCTACCGTCATTCGTTTTTGGGGCTGTTCCATGTGGCCGCTGCTTCGATATTTCAGTGTACTCGCCTACCTGTGGCATGAGAGCAAGAGTTGTGAATACTCCTGGTCTTGCCCGGCGGCCCCTCTTTGATACCCGTTGCGGCTTCCGTAGGATAGCTGCCACGGTTATCTCAGAAGCTCGGGTGGAGCAGAGTGTCGTCTTAAAGCCATATTGACTGTTGACGAGATAAAAACCCACATCGCTTCAGTGATGCTACATGATGCATGACCTTCCGATGCGTCACCGATCCGCGGACTTCGGGGTCGAAGCCGGCTTCGCTGGCCGCTGACTGTTCAGTGCCATTCGTTTGTCCTGACATTTACTGCATGGTGAGTGACTCATCGTTCCTTCGAACTTCTGATTTCCAAGTCTCATTGAGGACCTTGCCACCGAGGTGATTCGGCTGTTTCAGTTCGACTTACGGCCTGTCCTTTTCAAAGGTTTTAGGCGCTTTACCTGCTAGGGTCATCTTTATCTCTTCTTCGCGAACACTCGAATGATTTCTGGATTCGGCGTATCCCCTCTGAGAGATATCAGAAATAATAGAACTAACGGAGAGGACAGGTAGTCCCCACCAATATCTGACGTGCTATGGATAGTCAAGGCGAAGCGACAGAACGACGGTTCTCCATTATCGGTTCTCAGGGTAAGGATCCGGCCTGGCAGGCGCTCCAGATGCCACTCGCTGCTCAGACATGGACCGAGAGAAGCTTATCGATTTGTTCTCCGCGTGTATATGATCATCGGGAATTGTGGTATGGGTCACTGTTGAACCACAAACCCTTCCTGTGTTGATTAGGGGTTTTTGGACGGGCTCTTCATGCGGTAAACCGGGCACCTCGGTGTTGTTCTGCATTCATCGCGCGTCATGACTGGCCTCCGTGTGTATGGAAAACCGACAAACGTTGTCGATGCTTACAGGACCATAGCCCAGGCGCAATTCTTCGATTTGACCACCATCTGTCGTCCCTCTCGAGGAAGCTGGTTTGACGCGACCATGCGTGATCAAGTTCGACATCCTGGGATGGTTTCAGGGATTGTCCGAGACCGTAGTCGCCGTGGAGGCCTGAAGGTAAGCCGCAACTCTATCCAATTCCATACCGTTGCATACTACTAACCACCATTGGCCCATAGCTGCCATTACGGACTGGCATCCGGTTCCCCCCGTGTGGGTCACGTATTCTCAGGAGGGATCTCCACCCAATGAACGACTGTCTTCCTTCGACATTATGGTCTGCCTACGGCAAATTAGTTCTCCACCGATTGTAGCCTCTATCGCTTGACAAAGTTCAATGGAGCGTGCAATCGTCACCTTGCCGTAAAAATAGACGGGCAACTTTCCTTATCATACGGGCCCCTGGCTTGCCTTGAAGTTGTTTCTTCTCGTCACTATGTCGTGGATCGTAGACGCTCGTCTGGGACTTCTGGTTCCCGTCGCTTTGATTGCAATCAGCCTTGTCAGATCCCTGCAGAAGAAGAGGGCTGACCCGCCTTTGCCTCCGGGCCCTCCCCAGCTGCCAGTAGTGGGGAACGTCCTGTCCATTGACTCGAAAGCCCCCTGGAATACATACGCTGCCTGGTGCGCAGACTATGGTTCTTCGTCACGTCTCTGATGCTGGAATGATTGGCTCAAACCTTCCCCAAGGCGATCTAGTTTATGCACGGTTCTTCAGTCAAGATGTGGTGATCATAAACTCCGAGAAGATAGCGAAGGATCTCTTGGATAAACGCTCGAACAACTATTCTGATCGTCCATTCCTCCCCACTCGCATACCGTATGTAACGTTTCACAGCTGAACAACCCTTCAGTTGATCTGATAGCTTCTGCGACAGGTTCAGGTGGACCCACAATTTCGCGTTCACACCTTACGGAAATGAATGGCGCTTGGCCCGCAGACTCTTTCATCAGAGCTTTCGAGCAGAGGCTGCTCTTGATTTTCGCCCGATGCAACTCCGCAAAGCACGCCAATTGCTCAATAACCTCACGGACACACCGCAGAGTTACCAGGCTCATGTAACGACGTAAGTTCTTTTCATCAGTGTCTCTGTTCTTTACGTTTAATGACGTCGTTTGCAGCTTTGCTGCGTCTGTTGCCATGTCTGCGACATATGATTACGAGACAGCACCTCTCGATGACCCCTTCGTCGGGATGGTCGACAGAGCTCTCTATCTCGGCTTGAAATTCATGACCCCGGAGACGACTGCTATCTTGAACGCATTCCCATTCCGTAAGGTCTTTCCTGGACCTTATTTCCATTGCTCATCCCAACAGTGTTACGCCTACCTACTTGGTTCCCTGGGTCGAGTATGAAACGCAACGCACTTGTTTCCACACAGTATGTGACGGAGATGATCGAAAGTCCTCTGCAGTATGTGCAGGAGAGCATGGTAGGTGTTTTCATGATTGAGGGTGGAATCATGATCACTGACATAATCCTCAGGCCTCAGGCACAGCTGGGCCGTCGTTGGCTTCCGATCTGCTCAAGAGAAAGGAGCAGCAAGAGAGCGACAGACTTCCCGAATTCGAGCAAGCTCTAAGACAGGCTTCGTCCACCGCTTTTGTGGGTAGGTCCGGAATTTTGGCTTCAGCATTGGTCTACTGAAGTCACTTGTTCATTGCGATCTAGGGGGCTCCGAAACCGTGAGTGCCATCGAAAGTCTGGTCATCTATGCTTTAACTGTATCCAACGTTGGCTCAGACGAGTTCGGCACTCCTCACCTTCATCCTGGCTATGGTCCTCCACCCACACGTCCAAGAGCGAGCTCAAGCAGAGATCGACGCCGTCGTGGGCAAAGACCGACTTCCCGATTTCGATGACCAGCCATCACTGCCCTACATCGAAGCTATCTTGCGAGAAGTCAACAGGTGGCAGCCAGTTCTGCCATTAGGTATGACATGTGCCGTCATATACGGCCTATGCTAATAGTTTTCCTCCGCTGTTAAACAGGAGTAGCGCACGCTGCTACAAATAGCGATGTGTACGACGGATACTACATTCCGAAAGGTATATAGAATCTGTTTCGACTTGATGGGCGGAATCCGTGCTCACGTCTGTCCAGGAGCTGCTGTGGTAGCCAATACGTGGTAGGATATTGTCTGACCTGCGCCACATTGTCTTTCAACCGAGCTTTTCCACTCACGATAGGGAAATGTCACGGAACGAGATTATATACCCTCGACCGTCGGAGTTCATCCCGGAGCGGTTCCTCGACGCAGGAGGGCAGCTCCTCGATGCAAATGCTCCGACTTTTATGTTTGGATTTGGCAGACGGATTTGTGAGAACCATT